TAGATCTGGAAGAAGCTGAGGGACAGCTAAATATGTCCGTTCCTGTTCATTTCAGCTGGAAGACCAAGCCACTAAGTTAGCAACGGTTAGCAAAAGGGATGCCAGTTTTCATCGGAAGCACAGCCTGCAGGAGCACAGAGCCCACTTTCTCCTCCTTCATGGCCTCCGGGAAGATCAATTCCCTTTGCCCGCTGCTAACCGAAAAAGCCCGGTTTTGCATATCCGTTTTGTTTCGGGGAAAGTCCTTGGTTTTCACCAACGCTTGGGTTTTTTTCAAAATTACACGGCAAGGCTTTTGAAACCGCTGTGGTGGGGCAGAGACGGATGCTCCCTCGCTGCAGTCAAGGGGGGAAACGAGGGAGCCCTTGCTCCCCAAGTTTCCTTGGCAGGACAAGTCAGCAACTGCATCAACCACTTCAGACACCTAATTTCTCCTCCTTTTCCACTAAGCCAGCTGACGGAATGCTTCAGAACGGGTGTAACGTTGCATGACTAGCGTTCGTTGAGTGTGCAACACGCACATCTGCTTTGCTAGCAACCAAGAGCCATGCCAGCCAATTTTCAAGCCCCCCCTCCCCACCACCCCAGACCAGCAACTACAGATTCACCAGACATGGATCCTGGGAAGCGCAAAGGTGATTGCTCCAAAGTTCCAGTATTCAGGAAGATGATCCCTAAACAGTGAGGCTCCACTTGTGTGTCAGAGTCATTGGCCTACATTTCTTTGCAAATCAGCCTACCCTTAAAATACAACAACAACAACAATAATAATAATAATAATAATAATAACCACCCAAGTCTTGACCAAACTACTCCAGCCTGGAATCAAACGAATTTCCACAAATACAGGATATATTTCAACCCTGGCAGCTTTCTGTCTGCAACTTGCCCTAATTTATTTGCGCTATACGCACCACAAGCAGAGGCTGATGAATTTTGGAGCTGCAGAGCAATTGAAAGGGGGGGGTGTGACAGAAATCCGTGCTGCCGAACAGAATGCAGGCTAAAATAGCCCCCCCGGGATGCGCATCCCCATCGAAAAGACCTTCGCAAAGGGTGCACTGGTTAGATAGGCTGGGAAAAGGGGATTTCCTGTGACGCGGATCGCCCCCTTTCAGGCTGCCCAAATGAACGGCGATTCCGGGGGGAATCTGGCTCTGACGGAGCCCTCGCCGAGGCTTGGGGTAGCCGACCTTGCGCTCTTCCACCGCTTTGGACTCCAGGTCCCATCGCCCCCACCCGGCGCGGCAAGG